CACCTTATTGGCGAGCTCGACAAATGTAGCATCTTTTGTTTGCAGGAGATAAGAAGGCGCATCCGGTTCGTGGACGTTTGGCAGGTCAACCCTGCTGTCGCGTACCGCAAAGACCGCTCCAACGGAACCCTGGGCGCGCCGGCGCCTGCGAAGTACTGCAGAATGAATCCGAATAGGAAATTAGCACGTCCCCTGTAGCTGAATTTTCAGAGTTGTATTTTCTTTACTCTCATATCTCTGAAAAAATATAGACTTGATAATCAATACTGCTCATGAGAGCGATTTGTTGGAGCGAGGTCAGCGCTCAGCACAGCTAATTAAGCAAGGTCCAGCCCAGAGGCAGGTGAGAGGGTGGTGCGAGATAACGACGGCGAGTAGGTGTGAAAGGTCAATCCTGACTAAGTTCCCTCTCCCCCTGTTAGACCGAGCCGGGCGACCGGGTCAAGCCATGCGCTGTACGCGACCCAACTGCGGATGCTAGCGAGTTGCTAGTTGCGAATCGCTCGATTCGTGGAGGCTGTCGTCGGCTTTACGGTGTCAAAAAGCCGCGACTCAATAGAAATTTCGAAAAAAGATCGCATTTCTCGCAAGTCTCATTCCATGTACACGAGTACCCGACAGGAGGCCCGTCGTGCAGCGAAAAATCAGATACTATGAAGAGCCGCAGCGCCTGCTGTATGATGTGAGAAATGTGTATTCAACTTGACGCGAAATCACTGCAGTACGCGCGATAACTTGCTCGCTATCCCATCTGCGTCTCTGCCTTCTCACCGAGCGACGATCCTCCTGCCAGGTACATTTTTTGTCCGACCACATATCAAAGAGTAGCTAAGTGGATTCAAAAAAAGGCAACAGGGAAAGCTGCGTCTCGAAAACTCGGAGAAGAATCGCTGCGGCTTACGAAATCTGCAGCTCACCTTTAGTCCGAAGTACTTACCATTAGCAGACTGAAGCAAAGAACGAGTCGCACAATGGGAACTTCAGGTGCCTCTTAGCATAAACAAAAACAGAGCCTTCGTAATCCTTGTATTCAATTTCCTTGTGCGACTTATCTTGTGTGAATATTCTCAGTATCAGCATGAATCCAGCAAATTAGCAGGAACTGGTTCAGCTTTGCACACACAACTGGCAGTCTCGCTTTCATAATTTTGCCTTGTAAAGCACCAACATGTCTGTTTGTCGTGAAATGACTTTGTAGCGGCCGATACCTGCGAGTCGTAGCAGATTATTCATATATGTACGGTACTCGCACCCGAAAAACGCGAATGTTTTTTTCGTTTTTTCGTTATAACTCGGTTTAAAATTGAGATTTTCAAAATCTGAAAACAGCATTGAACTCAGCTCGTCGAGTCTATAAGAATCTCCCCTGAAATTTTCTAGCGGCACTACTTGGATTGCGCCATGCACTCAACTTTCATCTCAAAAAGTAGTTGCTTGCATGTGATGCGTATGTAATCCCTCGTATAACTTCGTATAATGTATGCTATATCAGATAGGAATGGTTCTCGAAACTTGCCCCCAGAATGCCGCCACGGCCATCAATCCACTACATTGTGAGATTAAATGAATGTTATTGTCCGAATTCCTGACTCTACGAGCTGAGTTCAAACTGAACTGTTGAACTGTTCAAATACTTGTTTCCAAATCAGCCAACTGACGTGGATGAGAAGCCCGAAGGCTTGTTATTCATGCCATCGATCGCATATACAAAACAGAGCTCAAAAATCTTTAAACGCTGCTTCTTTTAGTTAGTAGTAATCCCTTCATGTCAGACATAAACACATATTTCTTGGAAGCAAATATACATAGCCGAGAAGAAACGCTTCCTTGGCTTTTCTAGGAGGCATCCTCTTGGTAGTTCAAGTTTACGACCATTTTTTTGATGTTCAAGTTCAGAAAGGGGAACCAAAAATTCTACCTATATATGATCTGCCCTGTCGGAAACGAGGAGTTTCTTGTGGACTTAATGGGCATGGAGACTTCCATACTCGTTATGGTTCCTCTTCTTTCTTTTTGCTTTTCATCTAATCCTTCCTTTGCTTTATCTGGTGCTCTTTCTGCTTCGCATACTCGTGCACCACGTCATTGATTTTCAATTTGTTTACAACTGGATTCTCCTAACTGTCTGTAAAATGCAATGAATAACAAACTAACAAACAAACAAACTGTAATGAATAGCAAAACAAACAAACTGTAATGAATAAACAAAGTAGGCGGAGGCTATGAAACTTCTCACTGCTGATTTCTTCTGATCGATGACATAACCACAATTGTATCTGAGATTGAAAATTCCAGGAGTTTAAAAGCTCACTCAAGATTTTTTGTTACCCTTTTCCGTTTCCTTTTCATATTTATGGAAAACTTCACTTCAATCCCCTGCCAAGAATACGTAAATTGGGTGGCGAAAAACTGAAAATGTAGCAGCGGAAATTCAAAATATGAGAACTATTTATACATGAAATTTTTGGCAACAGGTCGATTATGCTAACGTTTGATATGTGCCCTGTATTTGAGAGCGTGGCGTATCATCGGAGGGGCTCATTGGCCGAGGATCCCTTATTACTGCAATATTTAAGCCCTTGCCTTTCAACTACAGAGATAGAGCTCCACCATCACTCATTATTGGCGAAGTGGTGTAAGGCACGCTTACCACGCGAGCGGTCCGGGGATCAAATCCTGGGTCGTGAGTCGCCCGGGCCAACCAAGCCTTCCATCCCTCCGGGGTCGGTTAATTGGTACCAGACTTGTCTGGGAGGATAAAAACACTGACTTGTACATCGGCTGGCCCCCGCAAGTCATTGTATAGGCCACATCGCATTCAAACGCCACTACGAATGTACAAATGGAAGAATGCGTGCCGCATCCCAAAAAGGGATTGATCAACGGCAAATGCTTTATCCTTTATCCTTTATCCTCACTCTTATTAATCATTCTGTTTCCACCTGAAATATAGTAATAACGTTAATTCTACTATATTAAAGGCCAGAACGAGAATAAAGCTAATGTTGTTGTGTACGTCACACACTCATCCTGAAAGCTTTTTTGTTTAATGGGAAAAATAGCTGAATAAATAACTAGCATTTCTTTTATAGGAACAACAGCAGTAAGTAGATTGCTGTGAAAACACCTACGTGATTTCTTCACGTACGTACATAACTTCCTATGTACGCTCTTCTAGCAAAATGCTCAACTGTCCACCGTAGAACACTTATCGGTCGACTTTGTGTGGTTCAGAATTACCTGAGCGTATAGGAACAATGCGGGCGACCTCTGGAAGCTCGTAGATTTTGAGCTCTAAAAGAATGATTGAAAAGGTGCAACTGCGTATAGAACAAGTGTCAGTGCCAACAACTTACACATTATATACACATATCGAGTGAATGAGCTGCGAGGGAGATTTTTCTTTAGACCAGACGGCTATATCCGGCTTCTATCGAAATTCTGTATGTTATGGCACGAACACGAGACCGGCACCTGACCACAAAACTTCTTGGCAAAATCATTGACCTCTTCGCATTTCCGTGCCACGCAAAACAAAACCGCCTTCAAAAGCATCTGTTTAGGCAACTTTTTCCTTAGAGGACCCTAGAGGTCTCACTTTTCCATCATGATTTGCTACTTTGTTGGTAGGGCTTGCGATACCTTCTTTTGTTCATTTCTTTTTCCTCTTTCCGAAAGATGTTGTGAAGGGCACAGTTTGCCGATCTCCACATCTCGTCCCCACGCCCTGAAAAAAAAAAGCAACTGCGATCGTTTTGATTTCTGATCGGCACTGGACCCTGGAGCTCCGTCTTTGCAATTGTGTGTGCCATGATTTTCTCGAGCATTGTCTCATCTGCAACGGATATAGCAGTTAACTGTTGACTTCATATTAATACCTGTGCAAAGTTCAGGTCTCTCAAGCGTGCGTTAAGGCCAAAGGCATCAAGAAACGGGTTGCGGAGGCGAATATTTCTTACTTCCGTTGTTATTATTCGTTGTTTTCGTATTTCCGGTGACGTGACTTGCAAATTGTCCGTTCCCATGTCGCGCTTATCGTGAAGCCAATTTATTTTCTGAAGATTGAAAGGACGTATTGATCGTTTCAGAATGGAAGAATGCTTCTGTGTATACGGACACGGTGAGGGATCCTTCGCTAGAAGCTCCAATTATTATAGGATTCTCTGTTTTGTACAGGTAATATTGCTTAGTAGAATCGTCTCTAGATCGAATATCTTGTTGTTGTTTATCTCTTTGATCAGGAAACTTTTAGTATCGAATTCATGCTTGGAATTATCGGTAACATTGGCGTGATATTCTTCACATTTGGCAATCGCAAACTACAAACAGTACAAGTAAGTTGAATGGTATCGGAGGATCCCCTCCAACCAATGGTTTTCATTCCAGAACATGTTCATATTGAATTTGGCTCTTGCCGATCTGATCGTCTGCATGTTCTCACTGCCTCTCACTCCAGTCACTAGTATTTATAAGAATTGGTATTTCGGCGAACACATGTGCCACTCACTTCCATGGATTCAGGTAATGGAAGCTTCTGCTTAAATTTTTGTGCATCAGGTTCCCCCCCCCCTTATTTTACAACTGAAAAAAGAGAACCCAAAAACCATGAGGGGAGTTTCGAGGGGATAGGGGAGAGCAAGTAAAGAACAACTTCAAAAGAAGTCATTTTGATGAAGCCTAGAAGGAGGAGAATTCCCATAATTAAGTACGGTACGTAGTCGAAGTATTGCAAATTTTTCCCACAAGAGGTCCGGCCCTAATAATATACATATTTAACTATTGACACTGTATGCCGGAACCTTTTCTCTGGGTTCTATAGGTTTTTTTTTATTTTTCCTTAGGCGGCGCCGGATGGCCTCAAAGGAAGTCAGACTTCGTGTTTTTTTTTTGAAGCCGCCCGACACCATTTTTGAAGAAAAGGGGTAAGGCGCCTAGATTCACTGTAGAATGTGTCCCGAAAGTGGAGATGAGGTACTGCTGGCCAAGAGTTAAGCCAGTCACACGAAAGCATGTGATTCATTTTTTCGAAATATTTAACTTTTAACTTCAACTATTTATTGGATAACTGCTGTTTTACGCGTTGCAAAAGTTATCACAAGAATGCAGAGTTTTGTGCAAAACTTTCGCCCAAGCGCGGATTTGTATCCGGATCTCTTGCTTTCCATCCTTGCTTTTGTCTTTT